AAGAATATACTGTAATATACTCTTGGACCCTCCCTCAAGCCCAGCCTCGCTGGGCTCTACCTGTGGCGCATGCTCCTGCCTCCGACTCAAAATGCCTGTCTGAGATGGTGGAAACAAGTTTGCAGCCTGCGGAAGGACCACGTACTACGCAGAAGAGGTGCAGCGTGATGGCAGGAGTTTCCACCGCTGCTGCTTTCTCTGCAGGAAAAATTTAGATAGCACAACAGGGGCAACTGACGATGAAGAGATTTATTTATTGCAAATCCTGCTATGGAGAGAAGTATGGGCCAAAAGGCTATGGTTACGACCAGGGTGCTGGCACGCTTAACATGGATAGTGGCGAGAAGCTGGGCATCAAGCCAGACTTTTCAGCCTCACAGGCCTACAACAAATCCAAACATTTCTAAATTTGCTCAGAAATATGGAGGTGCTGAGAAGTGTTCCAGATGTGGGGACTCTGTATATGCTGCTGAGAAGATAACGAGCTGGAAAGCCCTGACACAAAAACTGTTTCCGATGTGCAAAGTGTGGGAAGAGTCTTGAATCAACAAACCTGACTGAAAAAGAAGGTGAAATCTATTGTAAAGGATGCTATGCAAAGAACTCTGGGCCCAAGGGATTTGGCTATGGCTAAGGAGCAGGGGCTCTTGTTCATTCTCAGTAAGGTGTAAACCCAGAGCTAATCATCACACACTGAGAATCTCTTCATAATCTAGGCACAGATAATCTTTAACACTAAACTACTGTGAAATTCTACTAGCATTAAGTAGTGTATATTACCCTGTCCTTGGATAGGCCGGCTAGCACATAGGAAGAGAGCACCGTATCATATCCTTTTACTTTACTCACCAGCATTTTGGGGGAACATTTCTTTTAAGTTTTAAATAACACTTCAGCTTGAAAAATAAAAATAAAAAAATAAAAAATTAAATTAGGTATAAATGATCATCCCCAAAAAAAGTAAAAAGAAGAAAAATTAGATTACATGAAAAATATAAAGCAGAAAAGATAAAGATAATACCAAATACTAATATAAAAGTTTTCATCCACTGAACTTTTTTTTTAAAAGATCCATTTTAAGGCTGGGCGCGATGGCTCACGCCTGTAATCCCAGCACTTTGGGAGGCCGAGGAGGGTGGATCACGGGGTCAAGAGATCAAGACCATCCTGGTCAACATGGTGAAACCCCGTCTCTACTAAAAATACAAAAATTAGCTGGGCATGGTGGTGCACGCCTGTAGTCCCAGCTACTCGGGAGGCTGAGGCAGGAGAATTGCTTGAACCCAGGAGGTGGAGGTTGCGGTGAGCCGAGATCGCGCCATTGCACTCCAGCCTGGGTAACAAGAGTGAAACTCCGTCTCAAAAAAATAAAAATAAAATAAAAAGTAGAAATAAAAAAAGCAAAACTTAAAAAGAAATGTTTGTTAGGATTATGACAAGGATTGCATTAAATCTAAACATTGGTGAGAACTAACACTTTAATAATATCTCATTTATCATTTACTAATACTCTTATTTATCTTCATCTTTAATTTCTCTAAGAAACATTTTGTAATTTTCACTGTAGAGGTCTTGCATATCTTAAGCTAAATTATATGCATTTTTATGTAATCATAAATGAAAAATATTAAACTTCAATTTCCAGGTGTTTATTGCTCAAATATAGAAATATGTTGATCTTTATACACTGATTTTGTGTCCTACATCCATGCTAAATAGTTCTAAAAATTGTTTTGTAGACTTTTTAGGATTTTCTTCATACATGATAGCATTGTTGAATCATTAATTTTACTTTTTCCCTTTCTTTGCTGTTGTTTTTGTTTGTTTTGAGACAGGGTCATCCAGACTGGAGTGCAAGTGACTGCAGCCTTGACCTCCTCGGCTCAAGTGATCCATCTGCCTCAGACTCCCAAGTAGCTGGGACTACAGGCATGTCCCATCACACCTGGTTAATTTTTGTATTTTTTTGTAGAGACAGACTTTTGCCATGTTGCCCAGGCTAGTCTTGAACTACTGAGCTGAAGCAATCTGCCTGTCTCAGCCTCCCAAAGTGCTGGGATTACAGGCTTGAGTCACCGCCCCCGGCCTTTTTTTTTTTTTTTTTTTTTTTTTTTTTTTTTTTTTTTGAGACAGAGTTTCACTCTTGTTACCCAGGCTGGAGTGCAATGGCGCGGTCTCGGCTCACCGCAACCTCTGCCTCCTGGGTTTAGGCAATTCCCCTGCCTCAGCCTCCTGAGTAGCTGGGACCACAGGCACGTGCCACCATGCCCAGCTAATGTTTTGTATTTTTTTAGTAGAGACGGGGTTTCACCATATTGACCAGGATGGTCTCAATCTCTTGACCTTGTGATCCACCCACCTCGGCCTCCCAAAGTGCTGGGACTACAGGCTTGAGCCACCACGCCCGGCCAATAAATATTTATTGAGCAACTATTTTATCAGTGAGGACACTGAGTAGCACACAGCTGGTTAACAGACTCAAGATTCAAATCCTGGTTTGTCTTACTCCAAAGTCCATGATTTTTCCATTTCAAATCTTTAAAAAGTGAAGGTTTCAACACAGAGAAATGACTGTGCCACTAATTTTATAATGTACACAAAAAGAGGAACAAGATTGGATGAGAAAATGATTAGCCTAACGAAACCAACAGCAGCATTTATCTAATTCATCTGTTTCCTCCAAAGAATCAAAGAGAAGGCACAGAAAGCTACACTTGTGAGGACTTAATATAGGTAATCTCTAAATTCTTTTAAAAAACATTTTAAGTAGTACATGATACATAGTAGTAAGTAAATGTAAGCTGTACAAGTTATAAAACATAAGAAAATAAGCACCCATAAACTTACCACACAATTTAAGAACTAGATCATTACCAATATGATTGGGTATACATGCATCTATTTGCTTCCCCCAAAAGGCATCTACTAAACTGAATTTTGTATTTATCATTTCTCTGCCTTTTAACAATAATCTTATCGTACGCATACATAACCGTAAGTAGCTTATCTTTGCTTGTTCTTAAGCTTTATAAGGATAACAGATGTAGTCTTATACAAATTGGTTCTTCTCATTATGTTAAGATTCATCCATCCACTCTATTGTCACGGAACATTTGCTGATTCTTATTTATTTTAGATCTATTTGGACCATATATATTTCCACAACTACTCATTTCTGTATTGAAGTTTTTTCCTCTCAAGGTTCTAAGAAATTAGAACAAAGAGAGATCACACCTCCTGTAAGTTGTATTACACATTTAGTCTTCCAAGGACATACCAATAGTCACCATTTCAACATCACTTAAAAATGAATCCATTGGCTGGCCACGGTGGCTCACACCTGTAATCCGAGCACTTTGGGAGGCCAAGACAGGTGGATCACAAGGTCAGGAGTTCAACACCAGCCTAACCAAGATGATGAAACCCCAACTCTACTAAAAACACAAAAATGAGCTGGGGACAGTGGCAGGTGCCTGTAATCCCAGCTACTCAGGAGGCTGAGGCAGGAGAATCGCTTGAACCTGGGGAAGCAGAGGTTGCAGTGAGCCGAGATTGTGCTACTGCACTCCAGCCTGGGCAACAGAGTGAGACTCCATCTCAAAAAAAGAAAAAAAAGTTCCACTTTTCATGTTTTTTTTTGGTTTCCCCACTCTCCTATATACAGTTCAGAGGTATTACCATTTGTTTGGCAAATACACGTTTGTTTTCATTGTTTTCTTGGAGAGGAAGAGAGGGAGAGAGGAGAGAGAGGGGGAGGAGGGGAGAGGGGGAGAGGGAAAGAGAGAGAGAGAGAGAGAGAGAGAGTGTGTGTGAGTGTGTGTGAGAGAGATATTATCTTTGCAGCTTTGTTTAAATGTGAGAACTAGATGATTTTTCCAATGCAGCAGTGGGGAGACAAGTCTCTTTGCTTAATTCTAGGGAAAGGAAAACCTCCTCAATAATCCATAACCTTTAAGGGCATCAGTTAAACATGCATTTATTGGTAGCTGTGTTGAATGCCGTTTTAAGTGATGGGTTTATCTGTAAAGCTAATAGCAGCCCCTCTCGCCTAAAGTCTTTTAGGATTCAATGAAAAAACGTAGATAAACTGCTTAACACAGCACCCACATTGTAATTCAAGATTCAATAAATATAGGTTATCATTTCTGTACAGCTTTTCACTTTCATGTCAATTCCTATTTCATACAAATATTTCCCTAGCTGTGTTAATTTGCATTTTACTTAATCCTGAAGTAAACTAAGGAATAGGTTACACTAGAGGGAGTACCTAAATCAGCCTGAGGACAAGGGCAGCCAGGGATAAATTACAGGTGTTTGATATCCACTCCACTCCACTCCCGCCCCCCCAAATTATTTAATGATTTTAAGTTTCTATAGGGTAGTAACTATTTTATGCATCTCAATATAGGATGGATGAAGGATAGGAAAACCAGATAAATATTATCTAGCACAATGCCTATTCCCACTATGTTCATTCTCAATAATCAGATTATTGGCGATGGATGGAAATTTAATCATGCAGTACAAACTTATTTGTATAAGTAAGAAAACTGAAGCCCATAGTCGATACGTGACTTGCCCAACAGTAACTGGAATCCAGGTATCTAGACCCAGTCCATTAGTTCTCCCACGGGTTTACATGAACGCGCCACGTTAAACGAGGCAAGAGACTGACAAACTACGAAGGCGTGTTTTCATCTACTCTGTCCCATCCTCTGTGTGTTAACTTTATGTTGTTTCAAGTTAGACACCACCTAAATACAGCCGTAAGTTTACAAAATCTGTTAAAAGCATTGTAGTAACAGAAAGTGAAGGAGGACTATTGCATGAGTACTCCTAGAGTGGAGCTGGGGGTCCCAAACAAGGGGGATTGTTGGTCAACAGAGGAGACAAGTTTATAATCCAAAAAGGAAAACAAGAAAGGCTGTTGGGCCACATAATATCTCATCTTCTTGCAGAGGGGCCCCCAAAACAGCAATACCTGGGAAGGAGATACCTACGGCATTTTGAGATTCGGGGAAGCACCACTGCCGCTGAATAAACGAACCCAGCAACTTCTGAGAACAGAAAATTCGCCAAAAGAGACGCCAGAAACATGAAAAGCGCGCGCTGGACGCTGTGTCACGCCCACCGCGGCCCGGCGGAAACACACTCCCCGCGACGAAGGATCCGGGTGTGCCCGAGTAAAGGAGCGGGCGGGAAGTCTAGGCCCAGGACAGCATCCAGTTCCTAATGGGTGTAACAGAGAACCCTCTCTCACTACTCTGGCTATTCCACCCCCGCGACAGACTAGCAACACAGCTGTCTCTGTTCTCCCTGGATCAGCGCTTCCTAGGTTTCCAGCCGGATCGTTTGGGGAAGGGCTCAGCATCTTATTTCCGGTGGCGGTGAGGGGCAGTTGCCATGGTGATTAGAGAACGGCCGAGATCTGTCCCGCTGCGGGGAGAGGATCGCGGAATCGCGGAATCGCGGAATCGCGGAATCGCGGAAGGGCATTGGCAGTGTTCTTCGTTTGTGAGCTGGACTGAGGTAGCGAACAGCTCGCTGTCTCTGCCTCTTCACCCTCTTTGTCCCTCTCTGTGCGGCTACTTCTCCTTCGCCTGCTTTGTTTACTTCTCTGTAATAAACATTTGGTCCATGTATGTACCTAAAACGTACATATAAATGCGGTTTTATTTCCAGAGGAATACAAAAATAGAGAGATGGTACCCGAGATTACCTGCAAAGGTATTTCACTGCGTAGGGACGGTAACGGGATGGCTTTCTGTTTTCACTTGGCCCTGCAGAAGCCTTAGGCGCCTGTGAACAGTTTATTTTTCTTGCTGTTGTGTGGCTGATTATTTATGAAGCCGTTTGCTGCAATGTACTCGCTAGGCCCCTGTCTCAGTCTCGGTCTGGAGTTTTAAATAAAGGAGGTTTCCAAGCCTGGGGGGTGCAATTATATGTTTATTTAAGCTTCAGTTTGGTCTCTCATTACAAAAAGGAAAAGAAAAAAATTCTGGCATATTTCTGCGTTGGGATTTCCACGTGAGAGAGTTGCCTTATTTGGAAAGAATATTTGAAGACTGTCCTAAAAATACTTACATTTAAAAATTGCTTATTGCAGAGTGAAATTTATTCTCCCTTCCTTCTTAAAACAGTTTTCTTTCACATTTGTGAGGAGATACATGCACGCATATGTGTTTAAAACTCTGGTGCGTAATTATAGTAATACCAATTTGCAGTAACCAGACTGTGACACCGCATCCCTGTGGGGTCCTTCTAAATCTGGTGTAATATGAAAGTGTCAGGCAGGCGGCCTGTGTATTATAAATAGGGTACTTCATCCATGATAACCGATTATTATCTTTCTTTCCCAAGTGTAAAAGATCTATATAATTCAAAAAGGTGCAAGTGATTTAGGCCTCCTGAGTAGGAATCCAATGAGTCCTGAAGGGGACCCTATCTGTGTCATCTTATTGTTGAACTTGAAATGTTCAATTTATTATGTTGGAGTGTATTTTTAGAAGTCAAAACTGGGTAGAGTAATGTTGGAAGCTGTTAGACCACCAGTACAATTTAGTACCCCATACATAGTAACCATTGTTCAGTAAACCTATATCCACATTAACAAAGAAGAAACTGTTAACGAAATTTATGGCTTTTTGCCACTTACTGCTAGCTGGGTGACATTGCTACCCCTCAATTTCCTCATCTGTAAAATGGACAAAAAAATACCTGACCACTGTAATAGGGATAAGACAAGATATATGACAGTTCTTTAAGCTCTTATGTACAGAGGTGCTATATAAACCCCAAATATTATTAATAAAGGAACACAGTAAAACTATGATAATACTATAAATGGGATTTTTAAAATTTAGCTATTTGAAATGTGGGGCTGTATTATTGAGATGTTAATGAAATGATCTTGTTGATTGTGTTGTGGAAGATGGATGTCAACTACCACTCACATCCAAATTCTCATTATTGTGGAGTTTTCCATTATCCGAAGTTTATTTAGCACTTATTATATGCCAGGCAGTATTGTGTGCACTTTACATGTCTTAACTGATTTGCTTCTCTTAAAAACCTGATGAAGAGTCGCATCTGACTTTCTTATTTTAAGAAAATGGATGTGTGCTTTTCCTTTGTTCAGTGATTCTTCTTTTGTATATGTTATGTCTTTGTTCTTTTGGCTATGATCATATACTTGAACAATTGTATATTATACATATATATATATCTAAAATTAGAAATCAACTGGTAGGGCTTATTCTTGTTTAACATATGATAGTACATCCATATACAAACTATAATATTCATCTTTTTGTTCCACATATAAAACTTTTAATATCTCGATTTTTTATATATGTTATAAATTTTCATCTTTTTCTTCTATGTATGAAATCTTGATTCTTCTCCCTATATTTAAAAGACATGGTGACATTTGCATTTTAGTGATTCACATTGACAGATTTCTAAATTATTTTCCAATAGAATGGCGATCAGTCCAGGAAGCGATGCTGCTTTCTCCAGTCAGAAATCAACACCTTCAGAAAGTCCTCAAACAAAGAAATTTCCACAAACTGAAGAGGAAATATTTTATATGAATTGTAGAGCTGCCTACTTAACTGTCTTCAAAAGCAGCTTGGAAAACATTGTTTCTAAAGATCAACTTTACTTAGGTAATTTTTTAAAAATTTTAAATTTTTTGCCTTTTTATTAGATCAGAAAGACTAAAATTAGAACTACCTTGTTGAATCATCGCAGTTTCTTACTGAAGCTTGAATAATGGAACTACAGTAAGCTATTATGTCATTTTATATAGTTACATGTTCTAGGAACTTCAAAATAAAACTTTCAATGTTTATACCAACTAGATGGGTAATTGAAAGCTTCTGTCAATTACTACTTGCTTAAGATATTTTTAATTCTCATTTTGATGCTTTAAGATTTATCATAATAAAATTGAAATACTTTGGCCTCTAAGTCACTAATATGAATTTGAGGAAAGTGTAAAGGATATGTAAAAATCAGTTGAATGTCTGAAAAAGTGAAGTATTGAGAGATAAGTGAACTTTTAAAAGAGAATTGAGTTTGGGGTTTTTTATTTTTTGTTTTGTCTTTTATTGCTCCTATCCTTTATTATATTTAAAAATTCTTCTCATTACCAAGATCCCCAAAACCACCAAATTTGGTCCTTGTCAGAAGTATCAAATGACTTGGAGGTCTTTAGTCATGAGAGAGTAGTAAATAGCAGTACTAGATAACACTGACTACTCGTCAGTTTCATCAAGGCTAATAACATTATGGGTAGAGAAACTGAGTTATTTTGCCAATTTTAGAATGATTTTTCTTAAACCAAAACCCTGATGTATTTTTGCAGTGGTGTCTTGAGTTTGTATGCAGTAAGATCTCTATTTGAGGAAATGTATTTTGAGGAATATTATTTGTAAAATAGTTTAAATGCAGATGCACATGACTGACTTTTAAAGTCATGTTTGATTTTAATTTACCTAATTTAAAAATTACTAAAATGTTCTATTTTGAATTTTAAGTATTTGTGTTTAATTCATATACATTAAATGTTTAGGCAGACATCAATAATTTTTTTTTTTTTGTGATGGGGTCTTGCTCTGTTGCTCAGGCTGGATTGCAGTGGCACAATCTTGGCTCACTGCAGCCTCTGCCTCCTGGGTTCCAGCGATTCTCCTGCTCCTGCCTCAGCCTCCTGGGTAGCTGGGATTACAGGCATACGCCACCACGCCCAGCTAATTTTTGTATTTTTACTAGAGACAGGGTTTGGCCATGTTGGCCAGGCTAGTCGCAAGCTCCTGACATCAGGTGATCTGCCCGCCTCGGCCTCCTAAAGTGCTGGGATTACAGGCGTGAGCCACCCACCATGCCCAGCCAATAAATTAAAATTACTTCTAATTTGCCATTATTTCTAAAATATCTGAGGGTTTTTTGTTGTTGTTGTTACTGTTTTGAAAATATGCTAAGATAAGGAATCTGCCAAGTTTAAAAATTTAACATGCCTTCCACTACTATGACATTTAGTTTGTGAATCAATGTATATGTAAAGGTGCTATCAAACTTATGAAATTATCTGGTAGGATAACAATGCAGTGTTTATTTCTTAAGTGTTATATACACTTTTGGTTTTAGGGTGAAATACTCTCTTAACATTGTAATAATTGATTTTAGATCACCTATTTTTAAAAAAGGAGTAATATGAACCAGAGTTGTTTCTTATTGCTATGTCTTTCATCTATATCCTTCTGCCACTTATACAATATGACATGTGCATTTCCATTTTAAGGTCAGATAAAGCAGTAGCATTACCATAGCTCTAAATTCCTTTTTTGTCAATTTATAAATAATACAGGCATTATAGACTCATGCCAGAAATTTAAAAGTAAACCCTGGCAAGAAGATCCATATCATGGTGTCAAAATTTAAACATCTACAGCTACGTAGTATTTTTACTGTCATCAAACTCAATAATTAGATCCAACTAATTCTAAACCTGGAGATGAAATTTAGTAGGAAATAGACTGTATCAATTTCTTAGATATGGGGATACCTACTTACTGAGTATGTGTTTTGGCATAATTAATTTTATTCTGAGAAAATTATTCTTTTCTAATTACCAGTACATTTTTTAAAACAGCATTTTCTTTGTTGCTAAAAATAGCAGCAAGCACATACTAAGCTGCCACTTGTGAGAAAAAGTTACATACCCTTTTTCTCAAAACTAGACAGAAAATATAATTTACTTTCATGTGGACTTTTGACCTTCAAATTACAGCTTCAAATGCTGGCAGGGATGTGGAGAAAAGGGAACCCTAATACACTGTTGGTAGGAATGTAAATTAGTACAATCACTATGGAGAACAGTTTGGAGGTTCCTCAAAAAACTAAAAATACAGCTACCATACGATCTAGCAATCCTACTACTTGTTATATATCCAAAAGAAAGGAAATCAGTATAGTGAAGAGATAGCTGCACTCCATGTTTACTGCAGCACTATTCACAATAGCCAAAATTTGGAAGCAGTGTAAAAGTCCATCAGCAGATGAATGGATAAAGAAAATGCGAGCTGGGCGTGGTGATTCGTGCCTGT